TATATATATATATATTAAATACTCCATGTTAAAATGTTACCATCCCTTGTTCCAGACATGATAGAGTTCTTCTCATGGTAATGGAAATCTTTGATTCTTTAACAGTGTGTTTTCTTTATTTTATAAAGTACATAAGAGAAGCCAATGTTGGATTAGGCCAATGGCCCAACCAGTCCAACACTCTGTCACACAGTGGCCAAAAATACCAGGTGCCATCAGGAGGTCCAGCAGTTGGGCCAGGATACTAGAATCCCTCCCACTGTCCCCCCTCCCCCAAGCACCAAGAATACAGAGCATCACTTGCCCCAGCCTGAGAGTTCCTATCTATACCTTGTGGCTAATAGCAACTGATGGACATCTGCTCCATATGCTTATCTTAATTCCCTCTTAGAATCTTAAATATACTTTCCCCCCATATCTTCTGTTTTGGTAGGGTAAATTCTGTGAGCCTTGTACCAAATAATTTATTTTGATAACTGCTAAGAAGTCTAATTACTGGTGTAAGAGTAAATATTTTTCTTACCTGTGAATGATGAAATTTTAAATGTTCTTTGTAGCTCTTTAGATTTATACACATTTATTCTTGCAGCCTGTCAATATAAATTGGCTGTGGAACGGTACGAATGGAATAAATTGCAAAGTGTGAAGTCAATAGTACCTATGGTTCACCTTTCTTGGAACATAGCACGAAATATTAAAGTCTCCGATCCAAAGCTTTTTGAAATGATCAAGTAAGTACATTTGGTGACTGTGTTGGCTTCTATTTTAATAGAACATAAACTTGTAAGGTTAAATAGGAACCTGACAGACATCAGCTCTCCAACCACAGCTAATCTGTTGCTGGTCTCCTTTTCTCCCTTCGTGTAAAATCCCTGGATATTATCTCTTGCATTGATAGGCTGCATCCATAGCTGAATGCATCTGGAGTGGCATGGTTTTCTGTAATTTGGTCTATATATGGAGCTGGCTTGGGGGTGGGGTGCTACTGTAAAACTAGGATTTCTGCATTCATGCAGTACAACAAACCACAGTTAAAAAGCCAGATACAACCTACATTTTAGAGTCCTGAATTAATACCTCTTGCATTGAAACATCAGACTGAAGTAGAGTTTAATCAAACCAGGATTTATACACTATGTATTACAAACTTATTTATTATGACATTTGAACACAGCCACATTATCAGTTATTCCCATTGATGTACGTAGGCATTCAGATTGGCTATATTGTTAGCAATGACTGTGGGCATTTCTGTACCTTTTGGTGACTTTGCCAGTCAGTTGTACAGTATTATTTATTCATAATCCTTATATATGATGAATAAAATATTAATAAGAACATGTTTACATGTAGTTATTGGTATTATAGCAATCTAATGACATTGGTGCAGTTGAGAGAAATAAAATGCTGCATTTAGTAGAATAGGTAAGCCTTCTTAAAGATGCTATAATTAATGTGCAGCCAAGCGTAATTCTAAAAGAACTGAAAATAAGAAAAAGCAGATAATGGGTTAGTGTTCAGTGGGGGGACAATTGAAATATGGAGGAAACCAAGTGAAATATGGAAAAGTCAAGCTGGAAACACAAGCTCACAAGCTAACAGTAGAAGGTTCAAGAAAAATTACTAGCCTCTTACTGGTATACAACACCAAAAGTGCAATGAAACTAGAAATATACAGGCCTGTTAAGACAATGGTGATCTAACGTTAAATTGAATCTACTTAGACGGTAGGGCTCCTGGAAGTTCATTTAAAAAGTATTTGAGAAGAGTAAAACAGGAAAGATATGAAAGCCTTTTTGACCAGAGATCTGTGACCAAGATTATAAAAAGACATTTTAGTGTCTTCATTATTTAACCACCAGCTTTATATGGTAAATGTACCTCAGTGTAAAATTTACAGAAGCTTAGAAGCCATGGGGAAAAACTTTATTCCTGTTCTTTTTTTTTAAGGGGGGGGAATTGGGGGGGGATTGCTCTTTATTCATTACTGTCCTCTAAAACCTAAAACTATTTTGCTGCTTTAACAACATCACATCTTTTATAACTGAATTATCATATAAAATTATACTATTTGGTGTGTTTATGCATTAAAAAATATAAATGCCTTCTTTTTCTGCAAATAAAGTTGCAATACCAAAGCATGAAAGGGTTGCAAACTGCCGCATACTGTGTTACCTTAGGACATTTCACTCATTCCAAGAAGAAAATGTATTTCATAAGAGTTTTCTTTTCTGCTCTCCTCCAAATTTTCCAGTGGAAAAATTGAAAAATGTGTCCTTAGACTTTTATGCTATACATTTTGAGCGATTTAAATCCTTGTCTTAAAAGGCATTTCATTAAAATATTCCAATTTTTCTATTGGAAAGGAACGGTGGTCCCTTGGGATTTTTTTTAATTGTTCCCAAGGCCCTCACATCTGTAGTTATATCTTGCTTTAGTTATTAATGTACATAATCTTGTCCTGCCACATCAGTTAAGAAAGTTCTAAAGTATATATGTAACAAAACAATGAATGGTCGGCAGTCTAAGCAAATACCAGAGAAAATGTGCTTTCACTCCACCCCCATATCCTCAAGAGTGCACATTCTGCTCTACTCTTTTCTGAAACCAATGACCTCCCCTGCTATTTTCTCACTTCCTCCAGATGTATTCTGTGAAGGAAAACCTGTGGTATTTGAGGCTATAGGCTACTTCCTGTTTATCAGTCTTTTGAGTACCTTGGTAAAGAAATCCTTTGCTAGTAATGAGATTTCTTTGCAGAACACAAATTCTTCCCTGTTGTAATAGGTTGGGTTGCAGAGAGATGAATATGCAGGGCAGCAAACAGGAACCTCAATTTAAGATGTGACCAGCAATTGTGTATTCATGTTGCAAGGGCAAGATGTTAATCAATGGAACAGACCTTTCTCGGGATCCAGTGAAGTTGATCCAGCCTCCTGATGGCAACAGGATTCAATATTAGTGGTTTTATGCTTTTTTATCTAGATAGGAGTGGCTCAAACTGAGATTTAATTTCAAAAATGAATCTGGAGAACTTACTCTTTAATATAATTTAAATTAAACATCATTTTTCCTGTAAATGTAGCACTACCACTTTTGAATATTTGCAAAGGGCAAGGATCAGTGCAGTATTGCTGTTCATAGAAAATTATGTTAATTTTTAAGCAAAAAAATCATATTCTTTTTTCTTCAACACAACTGATTTTGTATCACATGTCAGTTTTCAGCTTGAATTTAAAATAGGAGGATTTAAAAATATTTTGATAAACAACTGAAGCGTAAAAGTAGTTATTAGTGTTCGCTTACTGGCAACTAAATTCAGTTGTAATAATGTTTTAATTGTTGTTTTTATTTCTCTGTGTATTTTAGCTCTGTTTTAGCTGTTTTAACAATGGTTGTTGGAGGTTAATTGTTTTAAAATGCACTTTTATTATGTTTAATTTATTAGCCACCTTGACGGCCCTAATGAGGGCAGAAAGTTGGGGTATTAATTATGTAAAATAAATAAATTATAAATTAAGAATTATTTTAACAGGATTCTAATATCTGTTGTAGGTATTGCCTGTTGAGAACTCTCAAGCAATGTCAGACTTTGAGGGAAGCGCTGATTGCTGCAGAAAAAGAGATTGTATGGCATGAGAGAACAAAGGAAGAGCCAGCTCATTACTGTAGCATATGTGAGGTTAGTAAAGAAGTAATCACCATAGTTACATACTACATTAGGAGTAATATTATCCATGGTTAAGATTACCTTGGGTTCCTATTTTAACCCAGCATGAGTCCAGTAGGTGAAACTTGTGCTGGTGAGATGGTGATGGCTCCCAGTCTTCCTCCTCTGCCTGCAGAGGAGAGGTGGTGGCAGTGGCAAGGCTGGCATCACCAGTGGGCTTTCCAACAGCTCTGTTCATTTGGGTCCTCCTCCCCTCCCTCCATTGTTTGTGCAGGGGAAGACGTGTTCCTCTGAGTGGGATTTAACCTCCCTTCATATTGAGGGGGTCGTATTTTTCTGCATCACTGCATGTGGAGGCATCACTAAAGTAGGCTCCCGTACACTTCCACATTTTAGGTAAAATATCACCAGTTACCAAGTACGGTCAGTCTTCCTCGCTTCATGATACATCCTGGTTCTCAGAATCCTAAAACATAATCACTGTTGCAGTAGGGCAAATGTTCCATTTATTTTCTTTTTCCCTCCACCTGAAAAAATGGCAGGCTGGACTACCACCCTAGAATATACGGAGCTCCAACCATCAAAGCATCTGTCTTGAAGCTCATTGAAGACCAAATACAACTCTTTAAAGTTTGAGCATCATTGTTACCTAGTGTGTGCCTCAGACAAAACTTATTCAGCTGTAAAGTTAGTGTAGTCCTGTATACCTTTTAAGCCTGTTTCAAGTGAACAGCCTAGTGACTTCATCCATTAAGAGCAGAGGCTGTGATTAAACTTTAGATCTTGTCTTCTTGCCAGTGTTTTATACACCCCTAGGAAAGAAGTAAAAGTTCCTTTGACCTCCACTAGCAAGTAGCACAGGATGTTTCATCTAGTAGATGAAGTTATTTTAAAGGGTTTTTATATTTCAGTAGCCAGAAATATTTCTTGGTTGTGGAATTATTTATTGTTCTCATTTGGTAGATAAGGGTAGCTAACCAGTTTATGATAGAGTACATAAGGGAAATAATTTAATTAGTAGATTCATTTTTATACTCCACTTTGCAGCCAGATGGCTTCATTAATTCAATTCCATAGCGCTTTACTGTTTAAATAACAGCAAAAATAGTTGCCACTGGAAAAAAATTACAGAATTCTATCTGAGTGATGGAGCAGAAAAGTTTTGTATCTTCAACGTGGTCTCTGTGCTTCACACCCATGGGATACAGTGCGCATTGTAGCAAGCTCTTAACGGATTTTCGCGCCCAAACCTCGGGCATGCGCGGGAACCCCGCCACACATGCCCAGAGAGGTGGGCACGGACATCCCGCCAGTTCCTTTCTTTCCACCGCACTGGAAGCTTCTTCCTTTAGTCGGTCTAATCGGTACTATTTTTTCCTCACAGGCTCTTCGGATTTTTCCTCAGCTTTCTTTATTTTTTGTCTAATTTTTGTTTGTTCGGGGGTTTTGTTTGTTTGTTTGTTTTTTAAAGGAAAGGGAAAAAAGTTGTTTTTGTTGAGGGGGAAGGTTTTTTGTTTACCTCATTTTGGCCTTCGGGCTCCCCCCCTTTTTTTCTTCTCCTTTTTACTTATTTTATGGAGAGGAAGTGGGGCTTTTTCAACCGCTGCAAGGGTTGCGGCAGTAAGCTCGCTCCACCTGACCGCCACACCCTTTGCATTTTTTGTTTCGGGGAGACACACCGACCAGAGTCTTGTCAGCACTGTGCTAGGTTTTCTAACCAAACTAGGAAAAACCGAGCGGCACGCCTCAGAGTAGCGCTACTGGAGTCAGCGTTACATCCTCCCTCAGCGATGGATTCAGAAAGACCATCGACATCGACGGTTCCGGCATCGAAGCCCTCCTCCGACATCGGCTAATCAACGTCGAAGCCTCTGGCATCGAGGGCACAGTCTTTCGCTTCCACTCCAACGAAGAACAAGCTGAAGCCCAGTAAGGAGCACAAGTCCGCCAAAAAGGGCTCCTCTAAGTCCCTAAAGGCGGTGAAGATGGGAAAGGTAGCGGTGTCTGCACCGAGTAATGCCCGTAACGTGCCCCCTCCTCCGACGGCAGTATCGGAGGCCCATGCCGCTCCACCGATACCGACCATCCAGCTTATGGACTCTCCTGTACACCAATTTGACCAGGACACGCTGGTAGACATGCGTCCTTTCTCCGATATCGATAATGTTGAGCTCCTTAGTCGCCCCCGGGGTGTGGATCGCTCTCCTTCTCAGTCGTCTACATCGACAGTCTCCGAGGCCCATGCCAATATCGATGCAGGTCGGCATCGACAGACCTCCAGGAGTACTCTGCATCATCCTCCCCGTCTGATTGCTGAGCCTGTCGATATCAATGAGCGAGCTTATAGGGGCTGCTCACAGAGACAGGATACTACGCTGTCTCCCGGACGCTCCCGCTCCAGAAGTCGATGTCCACGAGTCTTCATCCCCCAACCTCCGGCTCTCTCTTGGGATCACAGCCAACTGAGGTATCTCTATCAACTGAGGTATCCACCTCCATCCATGCTGTGGTTGACTCGGATTGGGATTGTTACTCTGCCCACAGATCACAGTCACCCCATAGATCCAGACTCTCAGCATCTCTCTCTCGTCCTCCAAATCATCCGTCTGATGACCCTTCGCAAAGACCAGATCTATAATCCTCCCAGTCCTCTGGTTCCACCACCGACGGATTCAACCAGCCCCATTAAAGCGACTCTGGTTCAATTGCCAGATCCTGATTCCTCAGATTCTGTAGAGGAGGATTCTGATACCGGGGCTTCAGAGGTCCACACCTCCCCTGACCACAAATTTCCTAACTAGGCAGTAACAGATGACCAGTCCATCGGACAATCTCTTATGCAGACCGCATAAAAAGAATGGCCCACTCTCTTGGCCTCTCAGTCGTGCAGCAGCAACCACAGGTTACAGATGCCATCTTTGATATCGTAAAACTAGATACATCAAGGGCCATAGCATTGCCCATGTCCACGGTCTTACTACAGGCAGCAAAAGCACCATGGGATAAACCCTCATCGGCCCCAGTGTCAACACGGCGCTTGGACCATATGTATAGAGTCCAGGAAACGGGAGCAGAATTTTTATTCTCCCATCCCCAACCAAACTCCATGGTAGTTACCTCTTCATCCAAGTCCAAGAGAACACATTCTGCACCTTCAGACAGGGAGAGCAGAAAACTGGATGCATTCGGGCAACGTTTCTACTCTATGGGAGCGCTAGGAGTGAAGGCCACCAACTACTTAGCATGTATGAGTAGGTATCAGTACACTTTGTGAGAACGGTTTTCTGAGCTTCTGGCTCACCTTCCAGAAGACAAACTTCAGGCAGCCCGCGTATTCCAAAAAGAAGGCATGGTACTCGCAAAAAAACAGATTAATACTTCCAAGCATGCCCTAGATGCTTCCTCGAGGACAATGGCTTCAACAATAGCTTTACAAAGGAATTCCTGGCTCCTTACCACCAATCTTCCATCAGATACTAGGTCATACGTAGAAAACCTCTCCTTCGATGGCCTTGGTCTTTTTAACAGCACCACAGACACCATATTACAGGATATGGATAAGAGCATAAAAGCTTCTCTTGCGCTCTTGGAGTTTCATCCTCCACGAGGCAGCAATATCGGCCTCGTCCTTGGTCTAGACCCTGGCAAAAACGCACTCCAAACCGTCAATCTGCTGACCAGCAATGGAGGCTACGTACATCTTCCAGTGATCAGAAGCCCACATTTCAAAAACCCAGATTTGGGTCGGGACAACAGTCTTCCCGCAATAAGCAGCCAAAGTCCTCCAAGCAGGGTTTTTTACTTCCTTACCTCCAAGTCAAATCCAACCCATCTAACCCCCTTTCTCCAAACCTGGCGCCACATCACCACAGACGAATGGGTGCTGTCCATCCTAACCCACGGCTAACACATAGAATTTTTTCAGAACCCCATTACTCCTGTTTTCGTCTCCACACCCCCTTCTTTGGCCCTCCTCGAAGAGGTGTCTGTCCTTCTGCAGAAGGGAGCCATCGAGCAGGTGCCACTACATCTACAGGGCAAGGGATTCTATTCCCACTATTGCACCGTCCTGAAGCGGGATGGAGGCATTCGACCAATCTTAGACCTACGGGCGCTAAACAGCTTTGTCAAATACCACTGCTTCCGCATGGTGTCCCTGCAGCAGATTCTGCCACTTCTACAAAAGAAGGTCTGGATGGCCACTCTCGACCTCCAAGACGCGTACTTCCACCTCACCATCCACCTGTCCCACCGCCAATACCTACGCTTCGCTATTGGTCAGCATCATTACCAATATACAGCCCTGCCATTCGGCCTTTCAAGCGCGCCAAGCGTCTTCACAAAGACTATGGTGGTGGTCGCAGCCTTCCTCCGTCTCAAGGGTATCTCCATCTACCCGTACATCGACGATTGGCTCTTGGTAGCAACTTCCAGTGGCGATCTAGTCTCAAACATCAATAAGACGCTACTCCTCCTGGAAAACCTAGGTCTACAAGTAAACCTAGAAAAATCTCAACTTCGACCAGTCCAGAAAATACAGTACATTGGTGCGTTCCTGGACTCCACAGCTTGCAGAGCCTACCTGCCACAAAACAGGGCCGTGGACATCATGAATCTTGCCACTGTCATGCATACTCGACCCTCGGTAACGGCTTTCCAAATACAGAGGCTCCTTGGTCTGATGGCTGCTACCACGTCCGTACTGGTCTTCACCCAGCTGAAAATGCATATCCTACAACTTTGGTTTATTCACAATTTCAATCCAGAGAGAGACACACACACCACCCTCCTATTCCCACCTGCCAAAGTACGGGACTCTTTACTTTGGTGGACTGCCTTCCAACCTATTCCAGGGAGCACCCTTCCATCCTCCATCACCCCAAATTACCCTAACTACAGACACCTCCCTCTCAGGCTGGGGCGCCCATATGATGGGACTTAGTGTCGGAGGCAGATGGGACACTCAGAAATGAAAACGGTACATAAATTTCCTGGAACTGCTTGCAATACAGTTCGCGGTCACCAGTTTCCTGCCCCTGAGCGAAGGGAAATGTGTCACCGTCCTCACGGACAATACTACTGCCCTCAGCTATGTGAACAAGCAAGGGGGCCCCATCTCCCAACGCCTCTGCGACCTTGAGAAAGTTTTTCAATTCCTTCTGTCTCTCGCTGACTCTGGACTTTCTCACTCCTCATTAAAGGTTTACTTGGCCGCACTTTCGGCCTACCATGTTCAAGTTGAGGGATGCACACTGTTCTTGCACCCACTTTCTAAACGTTTTTTGAAGGAACTTGCACCTCTACCCTCCCATCAAAACTCCTGTCATCCCCTGGGGCCTTCCCCTGGTCCTTTGCCAACTCACCAGGAAACCTTTTGAACCACTTGCAACTTGCGACCTAAAATTCCTGTAATAGAAAACAGCCTTTCTGGTTGCTGTCACCTCAGCAAGACAAGTTTGAGAAATACTGGCTTTTAGACATGACACTCCTTACTTGTCATTTTTGCCAGATGGCGTCCGCCTCGTACCTGACATCTCGTTCCTGCCAAGGGTAGTGTCAGAATTTCACCTACAGGCAGAGGTTTTCCTCCCAGATCTCTTCCCGGCTCCGACATCCCCAGAGGAGAGGCTATTACACACCTTGGACACGAAGCGTGCGCTTCTGTTTTACTTAAATAGAACCCGTCCAACGAGACGTGACTCTCAATTTTTCGTCTCCTATGCACCAGCAAGGCTGGGCACTCGCATCACAGCTGAGCGCCTATCAAGGTGGATTGCGAGTCTCATCCACCTCTGCTACCTTATGGCCAAGCAGCCATTGCCTGGCCCAATCAGGGCTCATTCAACCAGAGCTGTTGCAGCCTCAACTGCCTTCCTCCAGGGAGTTCCCCTAATGGACATTTGCAGAGCCGCTACGTGGGCTATGCTTAACACGTTCATAAGGCACTATGCCCTAGACGTACCACTCTCGTACCAACATGGGACATCACATCTTATCCTCGGCTTCGCAGTAATGACCTGCCAGCACCCTCCTCCAGGTAGGCCACTGCTCGCTAATCTCCCATGGGTGTGAAGCACAGAGACCATGTCGAAGATAAACAAGTTGCTTACCTGTAACTGATGATCTTCGAGTGGTCATCTGTGCATTCACACCACCCGCCCTCCTTCCCCGCTGCTGTCAGCATCTACATTTTCCATAGGGGTTGATTCGTGGCTATTCGAAGGAACTGGCGGGATGTCCACGCCCACCCCTCTGGGCATGCGTGGTGGGGTTCCCGCGCATGCCCGAGGTCTGGGCACGAAAATCCATTAAGAGCTTGCTACGATGCCGATCGATCCAGCGCATACGCACTGTATTCCATGGGTGTGAATGCACAGATGACCACTCGAAGATCTCACTATAGCCAATCATTCATTGCCAACGTGCAGGGGAAATAGAAGGTACAGCAGCAGTAGCTGAAGCAGCTGAATGAGCAAGAAATTAAGGGAGAAACCTTTAGTAATTGCCTCTACAAGGCCTTCTTGCCACTGATATATCAGTATGTGTAGATGGGAGACCTGTACTTTTATCATTAGAAATTCCAGCCAAAACAAACTTGGTCCAAGCTTTTAGGTTTTTTTTAATGAATTTTATTAAAAGTTTTAAAACAGAAAAAGATTTTTAAAAATAGAAGGAAAAAAAAACAGAAAAAGAAAAGAAATCAAGCTATAACGTATGGCATGAGAGAACAAAGGAAGAGAACAATTGTTACAAGCTTTTAGCAGACTGTGTACTACATATTTTTTCAAGTAAAATAATAATAATAAGAGCCTAGCTTCTTGTTACCAAATGGTAGATAAAGTTTCCCACCTTGATTTGGAATTGGGCTTGCCAAACAGCTGTTTCCCAAACAGGAAGAAAGACTTCCAGCAAGACCCTCCATGTGTTTACAACAACTCATGGAGAGGTTCTCTTCCAGCTCAGATTACATTCTGAACCAGAGAAGAACTCTGGGGGTCATAGTGCTTGGCTCAAATTACAAATGAGCATTACAAGCCATCAGAGTGGGTACATCATGCCAGGTAAGTACAGACTTCAGCACTAGAACTTGTTACTTATCATGAGACCATTATATTATCTGTATTGTGATGCTATCACTGTATGTAGTTTTCCTTGATCAAGTGCATGCTAAATTTGACGGGGGTTGGTGAGTTTATATTTATTTACTTAAATTGCAAGTATACTGCTTTGTGGCATCAGTATGTTCCTACCTTCCATGGTACCATACGTTATCCCAACTAAAATATTTATGGATTGAAAATTTAGCACTTGTTCTATACTTAAAATACCGCAAACCATGTATAACAGGGGAGCAGTGTGAAAGATCAGTTCTGAAATAAATGTGCCCCCAGAGGCCAAGAAAAGTGCTCTTTCATTCAGTGTGTATTTAGCCATCCCTGGTCTCTATAATTTCTGCAGTTCTGCTTTCTTGCCAATCCTAAACTGCTGAGGAAGCAGTAGCACAGACCACAGTGACTAGGATACAAAATTGTTTCTAAGTTGTTAATTGAGGTCAAGAAATAGTTTAGTATATATGTTGTGACTATAAATTGCTTTTAAAGGTCCAGAAACAGCTGTGATAGCAGAGCAGCAGGAGAATATGTGGAAGGTTAGCAACAGTATGTACAAAGGTGAGAAGAGAGTTAGTCCTCTTTATTACCTACAAAATATATGTAAAGCCATTTATAGATCGAAGCCTTGCCTGCTGTGATTTCTCTAACCTCACACGCTACTTGACTTTTTTTTCTTTTCTGTGTTAAACAGGTGGAAGTCTTCAATCTGCTTTATGTCACGAATGAGAGTAATTCTCGGAAAACTTACATTGTACATTGCCTAGACTGTGCACGAAAGATAAGTGGGAACCTGGAAAACTTTGTGGTGCTAGAACAGTACAAAATGGAGGACCTGATGCAAGTCTATGACCAATTTACATTAGTAAGTGAAGTTAGTAGATGGGTAGAGAATTTATCTGAGGCAGAAATATGTTGCCACATAAGAATGCCTTGAAAATGTGTTAGTTGGGCAAGACTTGCAGAATTATGTCTTCAGTTTGTAAATAGAAAAACAACTGTGCTCAGTAGACAGTCTTGTACTGTATACTACTAATCATAAAATTAGAATAACAGATAAAGAGGAATCATGGGAGATGGTTCATAGATCTGATCACTACCTCACTGCAACCAGCCTGTAGACTTCAAAATGCACGCAGCCTCATTCAGGATCCCATCCTATACTCAGTTTCAGAGATCGTTCATCTAACTGTCTGGAGGCTGAACACTAACAGCTGCAGCATTTTAACTGCTCTGAGGACCAATTTGCTGGGATCCAAAAGACTGTCTTCATAGTGGCTGTAACAGCTTCTCATAGGGTTTCTAATTAGGTGTGAGCTTGGTAAAGAACTTGTGCATTTTTCATTGTGATATGGTGACATGCATCCTGATTTGTTTTCACATCTTATGGAAAATGGCATTTACTTAAGTAATCAAGACATTCTTCCATCTTTCTTTCCTAATTGTTGCAAAATTATTGTTAGATTTTGTTGTAGTTCACACAGAAAATGGCAGTTTACATGCTCTGAAATTTTACTTAGATAAGATGTAACACTTCAGGCAAGGAGAGTATTGTTTAAGAACACTTGTTGAATTCTGCAATATGTTACCTGTGTGGTTAAAAAAAATACATCCTGCTAGCTTTCACATCTTTGGGCAGGACACCCCTGCTGGAGCTTGCATCACATTTCCTAAGAGAAAGAGAAACGTTGGGGGTCATGGTCCAGTTGAGAATCTGTAAAGCAGACATTCATGAAACAGTATAAGCTTGGGTTATCTGCAAGCACCACCTGTAGGAGGCAATTACTGCTAGGACACTGAATTTTTGAGAGCATTAAGGCCATATCCCCTCCTCCTCAGTGGAACTGCTCTTCCAAACTCATTTGGGGAAGAAACAGGAATTTTGCCTTATATGCACATATCCCGCTCTATCTGTCTGAACTTCAGTCATAATCTGTTTGATTTGGGGAGTCTAGGTAGGGTTGCCAGCTCTGAGTTGGGAAATATCTGGAGATTTGGGGGGGGGGGGAGGCCTGGGAAGGACAGGGTTTTGGACAGGGGAGGGACCTCAGCAGAGTATAATGCCATAAAGTCCACCCTCCAAACCACCCATTTTCTCCAGAGGAGCTGATCTTTGTTTTCTGCACATCAGTTGTAATAGCAGGAGATTTCAACATGCCACCTGGAGGCTGGCCACCCTAGGTCTAGGATACAAAATACCAAAAGGCTGGGGAATCTGGGCAGGGTTCTACAGAGGAGGGGGGTAATAGCAGCATATCTGTTCTAATGTGTTTGAATGTGAGGAGAGGCGTAGTAAAAATCTTTTAAGGGCCATGATGAATCTCAACAGCATTAGATGTTCAGTTAAAATCAGAGCAGCAGACTTCTGAAGATGTTATCTTTTAAACTTGACTCAATTCTGTGGGAATCATAGCTCACATAGCATCTATGTATAGGTGATCAGATTTAGTACTAACTTAGTTTGTTATGACGATGTATGTTGTAAAAATTTGTATTGATGACTAACTGGTTTTGTATACTGTTTTGCAGTTATTATATTTCTTGATATGTTAAAAACAAACAAACAGAAATAATAAACGTTTATAGCGCAAAAAAAAAAACCTGCTAAACACCCTCAGTCTGCTTAGTAAAGAATGTGTTCCCTCTCTCTCGCTCTCTTTTTAGGCGCCTCCATTGCCATCATCTTTATCTTGACATTTTTCCAAGGACATTTACATAAAAACTTTTCTGATATTCAGGAAGTGACCCAGTTCTGCACCACTGATTTTTGTAGCGATCCCATAAGGCTGCTGGCTGAAAGCTGTGTCTATGCAACCTTCCAAGTGCGGAGTGTCAACCAACTGGACAGGAGAGAGCACAGCTCCTACTCCAGAATTTGAAATATAGAAAGTTCATTCAGCTGAATTTTTAAAAAATCCACGTTTTGTATATATCTGACAAAACTGGCAACATTATACAGACTACTGACTTGAAGACCACCTCTTTTGTATTTCTCTGTTTCTGGGCTGATGAATTGGTTTCATCTTTTTTTTTTTTCCTTTCCTTTCCTTCAGAGTTTCTCTTGGAAAAGTACTAGCATAGCTGGTCATTTCTTTGTAAGGTAGTTAGAATTTTAAGTCTTTCTTTGGGCTACACTTTTTTTTAATGTGAAACGTTAGGTGATACTTTTTTTACTGCTTTTGTTATTCTGTCTTGTTTTGAAACCATTATGGTTACTTTTTGTTTCCTAAATAAAATTTTAAAAAATTAACAGCCAAGTCACAAAGATAAATGGGTTGCACATAGACTAAAGAATAAACTTCAGATTTGTGATTTTGTTTCTAATCTTGATGTAAATTTACACTATTTATAAATACATATTTATTGCTTGAAAATATTTGTGAATGGAATGCTGTTATTTTTTCCAGATTACCTGCCATTGAAATTTTAAGGAGTTCTGTAATTTCAAACACTACTCCTATTACATTTTCTATATGTAAATAAAACTGCTTAGCATTGTACAGAAACTTTTATTAAAATTGTTTAATGTTTAAAGTTTTTGTATTGTTTGAGTTTTAAAAAGAATTTATGTACAGTGCCCAGTTTTTGTTGATTTTTTGGAATCTGGTTATATATATATATTTTATATATACTCTTGTGCATGTGTATATATATAATATATATAGAAACTGAATATAAATATATGTATAAAGAATTAGAGCCTAAATTTTTCTCGTTTTAAGTTTTACATCTATGGTAGATTTGAGGTGTCTACTGTAAAGTATTGCTTACAAAAGTATGATTATTTTTTAAAAAAATATATGGTATGTATCATCAAGTCATGGTATGTCCTTCAGACTGGTTTATTGTTAAATTGCACTTCTTGCAATTACAGACAAATAGCTGATACCAAATTGTAATAGTAAGGAATGAAAGTTAGCATGGCTGGCGGCTTCACGGGAAGTATGATATGGTTTTGATAGCCTTTTTAAAATTTAGACACCTTAAAATTTAAGGAGGATTGACAAAGGAAAGTAGAATTTGAGACTGGTATCTTACAACACAACCAAAACAAGATTTGTACATTCCCGTTGTTTCTTTTAGTAAGTGTCAGGCTAAGTTGTATTAAGTACAAATCATGCTATATTTCTTCTTAATTTTGTAAATCAAATTAATTGATAACTTTTTAAAGCAGTAAAGTCCTTTAGGACATCATATTTGTTTGCAGTTTAAGATAATTATAGCATTTTATTTTATTAAGTTTTTCCCATTCTTTCTGAATTGTTACTTGGAAGTGCATTAAATCTGAATCCAAGATCTTTATTCATCCCAATGGATTAGTTTACTGATTCATAAAGTTCTACATTGAATGAACCAATACTTGTAATTTCCTTTAGTGTGGTATCATATTTGATGTTGTCAAAACAAAGCATCAAAATTGTTCCAGTTAGCAAATTAAAAATTGTACAAGAAACGTTCTCCTTTTCTTCAGCTAGCAGATGGGGTTAAAGGAAGAATGACAGGAAGGAGGAGGTGTTTCCTAAAATCAGTGTTTAGTTTATAACCCCATTTTACCCATCTTAACATTTAAAATACAAATGCTTTTAAATACTGTAATCAACCAGGAAAACGGAAAACATTTAAAAGAGTAGAACAAAAGGATGTGGGCACCACCCAACCTTGCCCTCCTGTTATCATAAAACAACAGAACAGGTAGACTGAAATTTAGTTTTCCTTTTTCTAATTTTTGGGGTTGGAGAAAGGTAAATATTTTAATTTAAAGATGACCAACGGGTTTTGAACTTTAAAAAGTAGTGAACTAAAATCCGTGTAGCTGCTTTGCATATTTCTTCTCAGACACTCTACACAGGTGAGCAAGCAGATATCCCCTGGAAGACAAAGGTCTCTTGGCTGTGAACCACCTTCATGATATGGGCAAGTAGTCCTAGATACTTTCCATATCCTGGAAAGATTTTCTAAACAGCAAAGAGAGATCTCTGTAGAGTTTTTCCATGTACAGTGCACAAACTGAATACTGTGCTTATGCCATTTTTCTCTGTAAGGTCAACAGTAGGACTGTGCATTTGGATCTACCAAAGCCAAAAATATTTGGGTATCCCAGATGTATCTGGGTAAAACTGGGGAAACCCTGAGAAAACCAGATTTATTGGAATTACCAGTAGACCCCAAAACAGCAAGAGTCAGGAGCAGATTGCTCCCTCCTCTCAGCTGTTTGTCAGGCTTCTGCAGTTCGTTTAAACTTTAAAGAGGCTGCAGAGGACAGGCCCTGCCAGCTTGGCTTGTGGCTGGCTGGCTTCTCCTGCAACCCAGGCTGCAAGAGAAATCAGACTCAGCTGGGGCTGGTTCCTCTTGCAGCTTGGTTTAAACCAAGCTGCAAGAGCAGATCAACTGGGATGGGAGGAGTTGAGAGCTAGTTTGGTATAGTGCTTAAGAGCAACGGAGTCTAATCTGGAGCACCAGGTTTGATTCCTCACTCCACATGCAGCCAGCTGGGTGACCTTGGGTCAGTCAAAATTCTCTCAGAGCTGTTCTCTCAAGAGCAGTTCTCTCAGAGCTCTCTCAGCCTCACCTACCTCACAGGGTGTCTGTCGTGGAGAAAGGAAAGGGAGCTTGTAAGCTGCTCAGACTCCCGAGTGAAGGGTGGGGTATAAATCCAACACTACTACTTCCTCTTGCATCTCAGTTTAAACTGAGCCGCCTGAGACGTCAGCCCAGGATCAGCCAGGGTGGCAAGAGCTGAGAGCTCCATGCCGCCTCAACTGGGGCTGTCTCCTGTTGCAGTTTGGTTTTATTTATTTATTTTATTTATTTATTTATACCCCGTCCTTCCCACAAAGCAGGCTCAGGGCGGCTTACACACTGATATTGGGATCTGGAATTTTTTGGGAAACCAGAAATTTGCACACTCTTACTCAACAGGTTTGAGACAGAAAGATGAAAGTACTAATTTTAATCACAGTCAACCCTCTGTTTATGATACTTAAAATAGTTTTCAGTTGCAGGCCCAGGGCTTATTATGGGGAGGACATGCGGAGACAAACACACAGACAACAATTTCATGGGGGAAAAGGCCACAACTTTTATTAATTACAGATTAGGGAGCATTGGTGCAGCATGGGGATGGATCCACTTATTGGGCTGACCCACCTGCTGCCCAATTAGCTGCTCCCTCAGTCCGCCTGCTGGGAAATAAACCAAGGGAGTCCCCAAACGGGGCAGGTGGGCACACAGGCCCATCTTCCCCAAAAGGATCTGTCCCAATGCCCAAACCCACCACAAGAGTGGGGGGAGAACCCCCTCTGCTCCTGCCAAAGCACTAAGCCTGCAACCAGCAAAGCAAGCTGTCCTGGATGCTAAAAAGCCAAATGTCCATTCCCCACTTAGAAAGGTGCACACTGTCAACCCTATACAAGGCATCATGCCAAAATGAAATGTCCTTACGTTTGATGATGTAACCGCCCATAGCTTCAATAACCTTTCCAGTGCACTTACAGATCTTCCTTCTTGACAAATCCATCTTTTCTGGGTTGATGGCACTTCTCCATTCATGATGTTTAAGCAGCTCTGACCAGAATAACTTGGTGCAAGGCAGGCATGCAGGGAGGACCTGAAGGTCCAAGGATATTTGGCACAACTTGGACCCTTTCTGAGCAGGTAGGTCATTCTCTTTGAGCTGTATTGTAAGAGCGTCAGGTGGAATGTGGTTAAAAGCTTGCTGTGAAACAGTTCCCATCAGGAAAGCCCAAATCATTCCCCTCTGCTGCAGCCAGGTGATATGCAGGTGGCTGTTAAGCCCCAGTGATCCCCCCAAAAAAACCAGAAGAGGATGGATACTGTCTGACCCAACAGACAATACTATGACCGACTATCTAGACTGATTTTTGCCGATCTGTACAGACTAAGATAAGACTAAAGAACATTAGATCAATTGTAGGTGAAGAAATAAGCCGCTTGTCAACATCTAAGCTAGTAATTCAATAGCATGGCAAAATCCCTAGGGTGAAGATGCTCTGCAAAGCAGCAGAGCACTAGCGGTGTATGGCCTGGATTTTAATGGCTGGAAGCAGTGGTGGTGCCTGTATGGAATGAATGGATGCCAAAATCTGTGGGAGGAAGGCCTAAAGCAGCAACACACTTGTATAGGATGCTAGCGAACTGGAATCTGGAGAGGCAGGAACAGTCGGCATGAATGAGAAATGTGCCAGGGGCAGGCAGCCTAACAAAGATTAATTGGGTGGTGCGTTAGGCAGGGGATTCCATGAGGAGCAGAACGTAAAATATTTTGGTGCCCCTGCTCCACTGGTCAGACTTAGAACAGTGTAAAATTATTTGGAGTTCACCAGATGAAATGCTGATGTCCTTGAAGCAGAGTTCACCACAGAAGAAGGCACCAAAAAGGCTAGCATAAAGGCTGCCTTAAACAAGGTGACTTTGATGACCAACAGATTTGTGGTAATTGCTGAATGATATCACAAAGCAATTTTACACTGATGGATCTGCGAGGGTTGGGAACTGAAGGTGTAGCCCTCTTCCAGCCCTCAATAACCCACTTGCAATAAAAGAGTTACATGGATCTGCAAAAAACCCTGATTTGCTAAAACATGAAATTGCTGCTAGGTGTATGCCCATGGTCTTAAGTGACAAGCTTCGTTCCTTAAGGTGTGCCAAGTAACAGTGCTGGTGCTCTGAAATTGAGAAATGAAAATGAAACCCAACAGAGAACATTAAGGTTCTAAAAGGACAGAAAGCACAGAGATAGGACCTGCAGGTTGGAAGGGTCAATTGATTGAAATACTCCCTGCAAAATCATGTATTCCCAAGATTCTTCCTCCAGGAATTTATCCGAGTGCTCCAGTGCATTGGGGGCCAAGTTCTGGAACCTCACATCCTGAAACAAAAATAAGGCCTCCACTATGTCGTTATTGACACCTGCAACATTTTGCTGAGAAAGAAATTTACCAAAGAGGCGAATGAGTACAAATTTTACATACTAGGCACAAGACCCACTCATAATGAGA